AATTATATTAGGTAATTTCTATAATCTTATAATACTAATTACAATTATCAGCATATTATATTTGGTGAACATTTACTTTATAGAGGGCAGTCTACTATGGTTAGACAATTAAAGGTATTTTATTCCACATCCTGAGTTGCTCTATCTATAGGCCGTAGTGCTAACTGTATGTATCAATTAGGTGCAGCTGCATGACAAATTGTAAACATTCACTAACACACACCAACATTCAAATACACAAATATTTTACTAGTAAAGGATTTGGGACAGTTTTTTTCCTTGACTTTTGAGATTAGAATTGCATTTGAGTACAAAACCAAGTCAATTCTGTAGGCCACTGATGTTTCTCTTCTTTTAAATAAGATTTTTTTTTTTTGAGGAAGATTAGACCTGAACTAACATCTGTTGCCAATCCTCCTCTTTTTTTTTGCTGAGGAAGATTGGCCCTGGGCTGACATCCATGCCCATCTTCCACTACTTTTATATGGGACGTCACCACAGCATGGCTTGATAAGCAGTACGTAGGTCTGTGCCCGGGATCCAAACCTGTGAATCCTGGGCCACCGGAGCGGAGCACACAAATTTAACCATTACACCACCAGGCCTAAACAAGACTTTAAAAAATATATATGTTAAGCTTTTTTGCTGAGGAAGATTCCCCCTGAGCTAACAACTGCTGCCAATCTTCCTCTTTTTCTTTTTTTTTCATATGTGGGCCACCATCACAGCATGGCTGCTGACAGACAAGTGGTGTAGGTCTGCGCCCAGGAACTGAACCCAGGCCACCAAAGCGGAGCACACCAAACTTAACCACTAAGCCAGTGGGGCTGGCCCTGTTAAGCATTTTTGAAGACATTTTTTCTATAATGTAATGCCTTCCAAAAGTCATACTAAACATAACTATATTTTATATTGATTATGCAGTCATCATTGTAAACATAACATGTATAGGTATGCCTTCATAGGCCAGTGTGGTTCGCATAGCTACTTGCACCAAAACTCAATAGCTCCAAACTACTATAGTTTTATAGTTTTTATCCCTTTTTTAAAATCTTTTAATAGTTTGTCTGCATCCTCCTCCTCTGTCAGGTTGTCACTTCTTGGGGCTGCTGTAGACTTACCTCAGCAGCTGCCTTCTAGTTATAGCTTAGGATATCAGATAACCACACTTGTTAAGACTATTTCTAGAGTAAAAGTAATTTTGTATCATCCATTTTGGTTATTCAGAGGATAATGTTTTTGTTATATTTTAGATATTTGAAATTACCAGCAAAGGAAATTGTGGATAAGTGAGATGTTAATTGTATGGTATATTACAAATTACTGATAAAATTAAATTAAAATATATAGAAGAATATGGAAAATGAGTGATAGGCTGAGCAAAAGCCTAGAGGAACTTTCCAAATTTATCTGTATTCAGTTGTGTTAACAGTTTCCAAAATATTCCCTTATCTATGCCTCATGTGTGAAAGTATACACACTTTTCAATGTATGAATATATACACAGAGGATTTCAATAATGTAAATGCAATTTTGAGTATTAGTCAAAACATTTACAAATATAGACAAAATGTGATCATATAGCTTCCGTTTGGTAAAACCACACTGCAAGATGATAAAGAGTGCATTGATCGCCATGTAGATTAAAGAGCTAGCCTAGGTAGCCTGCTTGTCCCCAGTGCTTGAGAAAAGTGAATGGATTTTAAGGTGTTATTGGAAATTTCTAAAATATTACTAAAGCGAAAAGACTTTGGAGACAAATTTTGAGGCAGAGGTTATCTGATAAAATGTTTACATGGCAGATGGAGAAGATGAGGAGTAACTACAGGAGCCTGGCACTTGTCAATCTGAAGGCACTTTTATCAGAAACACACACGAGTCAGTAGAGAATATGGCAAATATCTGATCTGTAAGTGCCATGCTCAGTATTCCAATAGCAAAATTCTCATTACAAATAAACATTCCCATTATTTAAATAGCTATATCTTTAATACGGTATACAATTAAGACAATACGTGTAACATTTTGGAGCCTTATCATACAGCACAAAGTAAGTAATACCCTGAAAGAGTAATCCTCAAGGGGTACTGGGTGATATTTTTAAGCGTATATTGATCATCTCCTCTGTGCCAGGTACAAGCACTTCAGACGATGATGGTGAAAGTGGGGAGAAGGAAATTGGTTGGCCCGAGCTGCCATTCATACTCCTCTGCCTATTTCCTCTGTAGCCCACTGTGTTTGTGAGTTCTCTGGGCCTGGCCCAAGGTGCAACCTGTGGACTTAGAACAGGTACTTGTATGTTTGTGTCCCACTCCCCCCAGATTTATATGTTGAAGCCCTACCCACAATGTAATGGTGTTTGGAGATGGGGCCTTAGGGAGGTAAATGGGGTTAGATGAGGTCATGTGGGTGAGGCCCTTATGATGGGATTAGTACCCTTATAAGAAGACACAAAGAGCCCTCCATCTCTCTCTCTCTCTGAGAGTGCATACGGAAGAGGTCATGTGAGCACACAGCAAGATGGCAGCTGCCTGCAAGCCAAGAGAAGAGGCCTCAGAATGAAACCCACCTTGCCGGACTTCCCAGCCTCCAGAACTGTGAGAAATAAATGTTTCTTTAAACCACGCAGTCTACAGTATTTTGTTTTGGCAGCCTGAGCTGATTAAGACAACACCTTACCTGTTGCATTACCTGGTAATGCAAACCAGCTCAGATTGGGATCACAGGTTACTTTGGCCACCATGCTCTAGGCAGTTGCACTAACTGGATCAAACTGCCCGTTATTAAATACAGAAAGGAGTAGACAGGGAATTTCCCTCCCTAGACTTTATCTATAAATAGAAAATAAAATCATTTGAGGGTGTGTTTCCCCCTTAGTTGAATGGTGAATCAATAAAGAATTGTGAATCTGTCTATACACTGACCCCATCTGATGAGAACATGATTTCACCATCAATTAGACTAAATCTCCTAAGTTTCTCCAAAGCTTATGATTTGGCCATTGAAGAAGGGGCAATTCTAGCTGGAAAAATCAGTTTATTAAAAAGATTCTTTTAATAATTAACTGGCGATGTTTTTAGTAAACCATCTCCAGTTTTTATAAAAAGCAGTTTTTATAAAAGTATTTTTTAAACCTTGGCAGGTACTTTTTAAAATCGGTAGCCAAAATATATTTGTTATAGGGAAACCATATTAAAATTAATTATGCTATTTCCAGGCTATTTATATCTATAGATCCACATCCTTGCAATGCCAAATGCTTGTATTCCAATATTCTTAATTAATGACCACAGTTCATTTTTGATGAGAGCAAACACTTGATGTACTAGCATAAAGCCAAAGAATTATGAATACAGTAGTCCCCTCTTATCCACAGTTTCGCTTTCTGAGATTTCAGTTGCCCCCAGTCAACTGAGGTCGAAAAATAATGCTGTCACAATGCCTCATCATTCACCTCACTGCCACTCATCACGTAGGCATTGAGGATCTCACATCATCACAAGAAGGATGAGTGCAGTACAATAGGATATTTTGAGAGAGAGAGGGACCACATTCACATAACTTTGATTACAGTATATTGTTATAATTGTTCTATTTTATTATTAGTTACTGTTGTTAATCTCTCACTGTGCCTAATTTATAAATTAAACTTTGTCATAGGTATATATGTATAGGAAAAACCATAGTATATATAGGGTTCAGTACTATCCATGGTTTCAGGCATCCACTGGGGATATTGGAATGTATCCCCCATGGATAAGGGGGGACTAGGGTAATTGAATTTGTCAATGCTGGGATAAAATGCAAGATACAATATAATTTTTACAGTATGTAGCAAACTGAACTAATTTAAACTAAAACAATAAGTTATAGTCCTGAATTAATTTTAATAACTAAATAATATTTAAGTGGTGAAAGTTTTTTTGTATCACTGAACAACCAGTTGAATGGAATGCTATGGAGAGAAATTAAAATCTAAATTGTGGAGTTAAACTAGATGATCTTTACGGTCTCTTCTAATCCTGAGATTCTTTCTATGAAATAAGAATTTCAAAGAACTCTTTGATCTACAAATAAAAAGGGTAATGATTTGTCCAGAACGCTGATCTTGGTCATACGTACATTTAAATCTTTTTCAAAATCAACATTTGGGATTTAACGAAGAAGCACATCAAAAAGGAAAAAAATGTTAAGTCTTTTCTGCCCACACACTTATCCATTTGAGCAATCAATCAAGCAATAAAATGAAATATGTTCTTTGGGTAAAGAAAAAACCCACGGTCTTAAGTTTCAGTGGCTTTGTAAATAGTTATTTGAATACAACCATTGATAAGTTTCTCCAAGCAGTAAGTCAGTACAGTCCTTTGCACACAGTAGACATCATATGTGTGTGTGAGTATATTTGTTTAGCTAAGTGAATTCAATTTAATTTTCTATTTCAAACCTGTAAGCACAACAGAAAAAGTCTGTGAAGTTAAAACTTTCCGAGTAATGTAGTACATTTTGGTGATCATAAGGTCATATAAGATTCATGATTCTCTTGGAAAACAGAAGAGAATGAGAGAATCAAATAAACCTCTGCAAATAAATGAGCTAAATTTTATATTTTTGAAAAGTAAAATGATTTTAAGGAAATTATGTATATTCAGCTTTTAACCCCAAACATCAATCTATTGACACTAAGCACATTAAATTACTCCGAAATTACTCAAATCTCTGAAATTATTTTCTAAGAATCTAAGATGAAGATTACGTGTGTGTGTTTGCAAGCGTGTAAGTGTGCAAAATTCACCTCGAAACGTCTTTAGTTACTGTGATCATATAGATATTTCCCCAGAAAAGATATGATCAAAATTTTTGAGTCAATAGCACCAATGATAACATGCTACTCAGTGAAATGTGTTTAGAATTAAATATAATCATTTAAAATAAGCGACAGTTAATTTAATCCTTGCTGAAACCCTGTATATAAAACATATATACAGATACAGTAAGAGTTACACTTTTTTAAATTTTTTATTGAATGATTTTTAACAGATTCACATTATAAAAGAATGTACACATATTGAATTTCAGCTATTTTGGATACTACTTACAAAATCGCTTTTTATCATAATGCAATCAAATATTCCTTTGCATACTAGTCAAGGGTATAACTTCTCATTCTTAAAAAAATAATGACAGATAAAATAAATTTGAACTCAGGCAGAATCAATGATTTGGGTGTGTCATGAGAGAAGAGAATGTGTACCCTAGAAACTGCCAGGAAGAACAGACCAGAAATTAGGCCCTCAATTCCTGAATTTGTGGTGCACTCTATTACAAATCACTAAAACCCTTTAAACATAATGGCTTGAACCCCTTTTACAACCCTTCAGCAAATATTTGTTCATTCGAGAAACACCTATTGAGTGCCTACTCTGTATTTTGCCCCTGGGCAGCCGCTGAACCTTGTTTGCCATGGCTGCCATGATGGCCAGAGTGACGGTCCAGACTGGGTCCCTAAGGACAATAATCAGAACCTTCTTTTAGAAATTATATTTGTAAATTCTATTCATTTTTAAGAAAGCACATATCTAAAATTACTAGTCAGAGAATTGTTCAAAATAATATGCCTATGGGCCTATGAAGAAAGCTGAATTTTGTCAAGGGGGAGAATGGACTTCTCTTGAGGGCTGGCCGGGTGGTATAGTGGTTAAGTTGTGGCATAGTGGTTAAGTTCGCAGGCTCCACTTCATCGGCCTGGGGTTCACGGGTTCGGATCCTGGGCAGAGACCCGCACACTGATTATCAAGCCATGCTGTGGTGGTGTCCCACATACAAAGTAGAGGAAGATTGGCACATATGTTAGCTCAGGGCCACTCTTCCTCACCAAAAAGAACAGGCCGTCTCTTGAAAAAGATTATGGAAGTCTCTGTCTAAAACTATGACACTTCATACAGAGGAGAATGTATAGCATAAAATGAAATGGCTTCCAATATGTGATCATTCATAACTTTGAACTGTCTTCCCTATACATACCTGAAAAGTCCATGTTCTGAATACTAGTTAAATAAAAACTTAAGATCTTAAAATGTCTCAGCTTCCCTGTTTTTAAACTAGATTTATTTTATAGAACAAAGTATTTCTCCTATTTTTAAATAATACTTCAGTTGATATTTTTTAAAGCAGTAAAATAGTTGATAGTTTTGTTTATAAAGCTTGCTGTTCCTTGTAATTCTTAAAAAAAAAAACTACTAAAATTTCTCAGACCCAACAGAAAACAATATAAACACGGAGGGCATGAGCTGAAGGGGTCCATCTCAGAGTAATATAATGTGTGCTGTGAATTTCTGTCTCTAACCTGATTCTAATCTGTTACTGTTTACCTCTGTATATGCAGTTTCACAGTTAATATGCAACCGGCCTTCTATTAGATTCTTCTTAGAGTAGGACCCTGAGAATAAGTCCATTAAGAAATCACATATTATTTATACCAGCTTTAAGTTTTAAAGAGTGTCTAATTTTTAAGAAAACAGAAAGAAACAAAAATTTTCCCACAAATGAAACATCATCTTGTAAAGAAGAATATATACTAGTGCCCATCTAGTTTCAATATCTGTTCCTAAACATTTTTTAAATGTATGAAAATCTAATTTTGAAAAAGTAAATTTATAAAAATGTTGAAATGCTATTGACAGGGTTCAAGTCCAGGCATCACCTATGAAGTGATCTTGCTACAATAATCAGCACCGGTTTTCTGCGCGATTTAGATCCTCCACGCCCCGGGGGCGGGCTCCCGTCAGCCGTAAGCGCAGCGGGCGTCGTCTCCGCGCATCCAGAGGCAGATCTGGGCGTACTTGAGCGGGGTGATGCGCACCGCCACGTTGTAGTCCTTCTGAACGCCGTGGACATCCACCCACTGGTGGCCTGAATAGACCGCAATGATTTTGCGCTTCCAGTTCTTTTTGTCTGGCTCTTTCAGACGCAGATAGACCCCGGAGCCAGTGGAGCCCGACTCAGCATCGCAGTATTGATAGAGGAGATCACTGGATTCATCGGACACGCTACAAAACCTGTAGACTAACTGATCGGCCCTGTCATGATCAAATCCCGAGAAGTGGATCATCCCGCCGGGCAGCTTCTTGAGGGTTGGACTGATGCCTAGTTCCATGTATTTCTTTTTGTGGGCGCGCTTCAGCTCCAGAAGAGCGTAGTCATAGTCCAAGGCGGCGTCTCCGCTCCCTCCTGTAGCCCAGCCTTTGGGAATGTGGGTATTCTTGACCCGGGTCCACTGGAAGGAGGGCCTCCCCTCAGCGACTCGCCCACGCCGACCAGATTCCTTCCTTCTTCTCCCAGCCTTGGCTCTCTCCTTCAGATTCTCTTTGCTACCTTCTCTTTCGTCACCACCATTCTCTTCTCTCCTGCTCCTCCTAGAACCCCTACGTTTCCTGCCACCACCTTTATTTCTCATCTTCAACAGCCCTACCCTGAGCTTTTTACTCCCCTTGACGTAGTCCTTTCCATCGTGGACGCAGTGGGCAGCAGTTAGAACGTGCCTGGGGGAAATGAGGATGCCGCTGCAGCCCGTGGAGAGCTTCACGGCTGTGCTGAAGGGGAAATTGGTTAAGAATCTTTTGTCCAAGATGCTGAACCTGCTGTCTGTGCCATACACCTGTCTCTTTCTCCTAACTGATGCTCCTTTTGTGGTGATATTTAGAGTTGGCTCAAGGACCAAACCTTGAACTTTCACTCTGGTCAAGGTTCGGGTGCCGTTCTCAAAGACAGTTTCGTATGAAAGAGAATCTTCCAGTTCAGAAAGGCTGGGAGCTGGGAGTTCATTCTGGCATTCGATGCCACACACTCTATTTAGCTCCATCTTAGCATCTGCCTCAAAGGTGGGGCTGGTGAGATGGAAAGTCCTCTCACTGACAAGCCGGGGTATTTTTCTCGAGTGCCACATAAAATCCTGTTCCGTTTCAGATCCATCAATGAGGGTCCACCCGAGGATGAAAAATATCAACCAAAACAGCATATTTTCCATTTTGTTCTTCTATTTTGTCCTTAAAAATAGAAAAGAAAGAGAAGCTTTACAATGTTGTGGTTTTTTTAAAAATATGTTACTTATCCTTTTCATTGAGGCTTTGGATCCTGATGTACCTTCACCACAAATAGGAGCCCTTATTTTCACTCTATTTAGATTTTACTGAGATTAGACACCCTGCTAAGTAGGCTCATACAGATTTCCAAAATCAGTAAATTGGTTTCTACCCAGCCTTTCCTCCACCAACCCTAACCTACCTCCCACCCCCCAACCCCACACCCTCCATCTCCACCTCTCCCTCCCCAGACAGCCCAATGCATGGGAGCGTAGGATGGGGGTTGCTAACTGGGGTAGTCTATTGCCTAAGCCCCAGTCCCTTCCTTCCTAGGTCTCCTACAACCTTATTTCCAGATGACTTAGAAATAAAGATAGCGGCAGATGTCCTGACTTTCCCTGCACTTAGCTCCTTAAAATCCGAGCTCCATAAATTCCCATCTCTAAAGTGTAAATGCACAGCACAGAGCTCAAAACACATTCACTGGAATACAGTGAATTTCCCTGAACCATGGTTTGCAGACCAAGCTGATCGACGGCACAATTGAAATCACTGGATAATACTCTAAAAGCAGTAGAGGTTTTAGAAATAAATAAGTGGGTTCATCACTATTGGCCCACTTTGATTTTTACAAGTAGAACCCCTTACCATAAAGGAAATATACAACACAGACCATTTATGCTAAAGTAAGAAAAATATACCCTGCACTTTTTTTTTTTTAACAAAGTTGTGCTTGGAACTACCATCTAAGCAAAGCAACATACAAAAGTGCATCACAGTGGGATTTTACTGTATATTAAAATTAGTTGTAAGAAGTTAGGGAGCACAGGCTATGATTCTGAATTTGCCACTTGGGGGAACATGATCATGATTAAATATAGTCCCTTTCATCATGGGTCTCACCATCTAAGGGTGAGGGTAAGGGGAAGTGGTAGAACTCTTTGGAGCAGCAATTTTGAAATTTATAAGCTATGCTCCAAGTTGTTTTTAACTAATAGCTAAAATATAAACGCTTAGCAAATGATTTGCACTTTGCATAAAGCAGAGGCAATTCAAGGTTAGATTATTCCTACAATATTTTCACTCTCAATGCTTTCTGATAAGCTTTTTTGCATAGAAAACAAAGCTAATGAAGAATGTTAGGAATGCCCACAACCCAAGGCACACCCATTGGATCCTGTGCACTGGACCAAAAAGTGAAAGCTGTCTCTGATGCAGAGTTGAATATGGGCATGTCCTAGTACAACAGAATTCACTTTGCTATATACAAGTACAGAATTTTATTAACAAACTAATATTCTTTTGATAAAACAAAAATGCATACTACATTAACCTCTTTATTGTTTAAACATGATATATTCACCAAAACATGACACAATTAATTGGAATCATCATATATTTGAACAGATTAAGCAAATTTATAATAATCTTTACTATGACTTGGCATCAGCAAAATTAGATAATTTTGAAACTTCCATTTTTTCATCTGCTCACACTTGAATGCTGAGTAATGGTGATTCTGGTTAATATTAGGCCGTATTGTTTGCTGAATAGCTTGTAATTTGTTTTATTTTGGAGACACGGCATTCATCTCCAAGAGTGATGGACATTGTCCAAAAATCAATAAAGAATATACTTCAGAAAAAATCCACACTCATGTCACAATATTTTCTAATCATTACCGTGGCGAATTTGTACTGGCGAAATATACTGTTTTATACAAAACAGTAATTATATTGGTAATGACTTTCTTGAGCCACTCAGTATTTTCTTTATCTTCTGCAATTTTCATAATGAGCATTTCATCATTTATTTAATTGGATTGTAGTGAAAAAGGCTAACATTTCAGTAACTCTACTGAGACCTTGAAATCCTTTTTAACTGGGTAGGTCCCAAGATGAAAAATTATGTCTTTGCCTAAAAAAAAAAAAAAGCCAAAATCGGAGTTATTTGCTGCCTCTTAGCTTATTAACAGAGTAAAATAGATGATTTAAAAAAGATATATTCATATCTTTTATCTACTTGATTCTTAACAAAATTTCAATCAAAGGAGTTTTTTGGTGTGGGAAAACAAATTTTTAAAAATTGATTTTTCATTTAGCCCCTTATGACAACAGCTGTCCATTGTGTACTTCATATATGATTACATCAAAGACTGAAATCAGCCAAATATCCACATTGAGAAATACATAGAATCCCTCTGTACATTTTAACATTTGATACTAATGATCTGTGGAGTAATAAATGTGTGAAAGTCATTCCTAGGCAAAATAGAGGATGTCTAAATCATGGTACTGTAGTATTGCTTCCCTAGTTAGGTTTTATTTTTTTCAGTACTATTTAATTTAGTCTTGCAACTTTTTACCTAGTTAGGGATTAGAAAGGCAGAATGCAACTATAAAATAACTGAAAAGATGATCTTTTACTATACAAACACTAAACTGGAATATGGGTCTCAAATATAGAAGTTCCCCCACTCTTTATCAAATAAAACATGCACCCTGTGCCATAATTCCATAGGCAGACTTTTAAGAAAGCCCCAGGTAATGGTTAATTTATGTGTCAAGTTCACTGGGCCACAAGGTGCCCAGATATTTGGTCAAACATTATTCTGGGTGTATCCAGGAGTGTGTTTTTGGATGAGATTAACATTTGAATTGGTAGACTAAGTAAAGCAGATTGCCCTCCCTAGTGTGGGTGGGGCTCATCCAATCAGTTGAAGGGTCTGAACAGAACAAAAAGGCTGACCCTCCTGTGAGTTATGGGGGACTTCTCCTCCCTGACTGCTTGGAGCTGGGACATTGGTTTTTTTCCTGACTTTGAATTCAAAATGAAACATGAACAACTCAAAAGAATATCAGTTTGTTAATAAAGTTTGGTACTTGCGTATGGCCAAATAAATTCTGTCATATGAGGGTATGCCCAGATTGTAGTCCCCAGACCAAAAGCATCAGCATCACCTGGGAACTTGTGAAAAATGCTCATTCTCAGGGCCAACCCTAGACCTACTGTCAGAACTCTCCAGGAGAGGGTGGGTTCCCAGCTACCTATGTTTTAACCAGCCCTCCAGGCAATTCTGACGGTACAGTTTGAGAACCAGTACAGCAGCCAAGGCCCTGGTGCAGCAGCCTGAGCAGCACTTGAGCAGTCTTTCTAGGGATGATTGCTCAACCAGGTTTCAAATGACATCTACTTCATCTTTGTGGACAAAGTACATTTACTCTGAACTTTGCTCTTTTACTGTGTTAGCAACTGCTAATATCAAATGGCTCAGCAATTTAATAAAGAACAAATATAGCTTACTTTGATATAAGCGATTTATTAATATGTCTGAAAAGATTCAAATTCAGTAGGCTTGTCCGTAATGCCTCCAACAGCTGATGCTACAGATGATGCAGTGCCCTCAGTTCACCAGCCCTGTCCAGCGCCCTTGGCGGGAGCTCTGTTGCAGGACACCACAGGAATAAAGGCCATGCCACATCTATCCTTGGGCAGGGGAAAGGCAGAGCCTGTAATATGGCCTCAAATCACAGTAATAAGAGGACAGGAACTTAGTTAGCCCAATTTGGTCTGTAATTTAAAATTGGACAAATGTTTCAGCACACTTTCTTTTGGAAAAACCAAGTTTGCCCTGTGGTAGAATGTTGATGTCGTGTAAATGACAGCTCTTACCAATAGAGCAATCCACGGTTCAGTGGCTATGTCTACATGTGCCCATCATCCAAAAGCACCAACTCACTGATCTAAAGAGACACAGTCCCGATTGGCGACAAAGCTATAATATTTTGAAAGCTTTGATGTCTCTTGCCTTCCCTCATCCTCCTCCTTTTTCCTGTCTTCCATAATAATGATGACCTTCACTGTCACTTTCCAGATGGCTTGGATTTGGGGCTTCAGATTCCAATTTTGGTTAATGAAAGTGAGGTGGCAGTCCTCGCTCTCCACCGTGAGTCAGCATACACATAGTTGACTGCGGGTTGCATGATGGAGACCAACAGAGTGGAAGGGAGTTAGGGAGGAAGCAAGAATTCAGGATATGGAGATGAACTTTCACTGATGGAGCAGATACTATTCGACATTGGTACCTGGTCTATCTTGATAGAAATGACCACACATAACTACAAGAGATGACTTACTATTACTCTTTTTTTATTTGTTTGCTTATGCTCTCTTAGGAATGTCATTGCTGATAGTGTTTGGACTATTTGAGTATCTACACCAGCACAGTGGTTACGACTGGAGACCAAGGAGTGAGAAGACTTGGGCTAAGTCTCATCTTGACCACTTATTAGGCATCTGCATTTAGACTGTTCATTAGGCTCAGTTAAGGTTCACTTTCCTCATCTACAAAGTGAGGATAATAGTAATGTCTACTCCATAACATAATTGTGGGGATAAAATGGGATGATATCTGCAAAGAATCACCACTGAGCCCAAAGCATAGTCAGCAGTCAATAATCGGTTCCTTTATAATTACTATTCTACTTTAATGGGTGAATTAATATCACTTTAAATAAAGCCAAAGTTATAGCACTTTTAGTTTTCTAAAAAGTCAATTTTACAGCAAATATTTTTATTTCAGGATGGTTTCCCACACACTCCCAAAAACTCCCTTTATTCTTAGTTGTATTTTGTTTGTTTTGTTCAAGGACAGCTTCACTTTAGAGACTTCCCAAATGAATGCTTTCCTAATTACTCATTTCTACGAATATCTGTGGCTCTGTAATACATTTTTCTGGTTGCTATTAAACTTAAGTGTGATTAAACATTACCCAGCCACAGAACACTCAAATTGCATTTCCTGCGTCTTATTTATAGCCGGGATCTACATTAGGAATTCTGGAACTGAATCAGTCTAAAAAGAAAGAGAGTCTATGTCAAAATAACTACTCTGAGGGAGCGATTTACAGCAAAAGAAAGACCCGACTTTTTGAGTGAGTCTATCTGGA